TTGTAGGCTGCAGAGAAAGGTTAGCTGACACGGAATTAGTGGCCCTGACACTCCACTTGAAACCCATTCGCCATGCTCCGCTGTCTCTGCCTGCCCGCTAACGCTGCTCCCCTCTTCGGAAGAAAAGAAAAAATGGGCTCCTGGCATCCACTTCAATCCACAGGAGGAAAGGATCCTTTCCCCAAGGGTCAGAAGTTTCTTCCAGCCAGAAAAATCTATACGCTGGAAAAAATAGTAGTATTTCTCCTCACCTTCACCTCCGAACCCCATTCGACACCAAGGCAATGCAAAAACGATCTACTCTTTTCCTATCCCTTTCTTTTCTTTCTTCCAAGCCGTCAGTTAGCTCCGGATCTCTGATTATTCCCATTATTTTTTTTAAAAAGTATCCCTTATTTGCATCTTTAAAATACACCAGATTAACGTGCTTTAGTTCTGAAATAAGAGCTATGCAAAAATCAGGCAAGTGCAAGGAAAATCTGTCTAGCAGTTGAGATGTTCTGCCCAGGGTTCATCGCGGTAAAAGGAGTCAGTAACTCACTTCCTTGTCCTGCGTTATCTATCCGCAGGGATGGAGGATTCAGGCATCCAGAGAGGCATCTGGGATGGAGACGCAAAGGCTGTCCAGCAATGTCTCACAGACATTTTCACCAGCGTGTACACCACCTGTGACATCCCCGAGAACGCTATATTCGGTCCCTGTGTCCTGAGCCACACTTCCCTGTATGACAGCATAGCTTTCATCGCTCTGAAGTCTACCGACAAGAGAACAGTACCTTATATCTTCCGGGTAAGTCTCAGTCTCGGCCAGTACCGCGTAGGCGTACGAGGGTAACGTCCTGCTGAAAATGAACTAAGACTCATTCTGATGACAAGTGGAGACAGGTTTTGAAGGTAGAAGATGCAAAAATGCAAGCAATCCTATTATGCACGCCAAAAACTATAAAAGGAAAATTAAACTCAAATTATTGTCAACTGATTTTCTGGAATCAATGACAGGATTTGATTTGGAATGTTAGAACTACCTAAATCAGGGTCTTAGTTCTGGGTTTTCCTGGTGATGAACGTGACTTCCTAAACTCTATGGGCGATTTCACTGAGGCTGAGGCTATTTGCATACTAATTACTTTCCGAAAGTACTTTTTACAAGTATTGGGCACGTTTGCCTTCCAACGTGGGAGGCTTTCTCATCCTCTAAATATTACTTTCTTTGGCAACATTAGCTAGTGCCCAGAGTCTGTATTTAAATTAATATGTTACTGGTTTTGACAGTAAAGCATCATTACACACAGGTGTTTTAGCTTGAAGATAAAAGGCCTCTCACTTCCTACTCTTTCTTTACAAAGAAAAGCTATTAATTGTTCCAGCCAAAGCTAGGAAGATAAATGCCACATAATGTCTAAGATTTAAGCTTGCTCCCCCCCCCCAACGAACAAAATTCCCTATGCCTTTGTAATGTGGGATCATTTAGAAGTAAATTCTCAAGAGGTTCACACTAAATTTTAAGAAGAAATTTCCTTCATTGGGTGTTCTACCAATACATGAAAACGGTGACTTAAATTATCTGATCGGTGCAGTGTTTTACAGGATGGGTTATCTTACCTACTGGCTACAAATATGAGGACGGGTCTCAGGTTAGGTCAAATTTTTGGAAGCTTGGTCTCAGACAATTTTTGGAAAAAACTATCATAGCGGAAACGATCGTGGTTCCTCTGGCTTCACCATCTCACGTGCGTCTCTCCCCCCCCTTCTTTCTTGCCTTTTTTCTTCTATTTTAAACTGTAGGTAGACACCTCCGCGGCTAACGGTTCCTCAGAAGGTCTCATGTGGCTTCGGCTGGTCCAATCAGCCAGAGATAAAGAAGAGCAGAACCTTGAAGCCTACATAAAAAACGGACAGCTGTTCTACCGCTCTCTCCGCAGGATCGCCAAAGACGAGGAGTTGCTAGTTTGGTATGGGAAGGAACTGACCGAGTTACTCTTGCTCTGCCCGTCCAGATGCCACAGCAAGATGAACGGTAGGTTGGCTGCAGCCCCGCGCGTGGGCCCGTCGCTGGGCGGGGCGCGGTGGGGGCGCATCCCGGCGTGGTGGCCTCTGTCCCCGCTGGGTGTCTCACGGGGGGCTTCTGAGACAGACAGGTGAGGATAAACAGGGCACAGTGGCGCGACTCCTGCATCCCTCCCCAACCAAGAGGCGAGGTCAGATCAGGGCGCACGGTGCATCCTTCCCGGGACACTCAGGCCCTGGGAGATGCGGGTAGATCCGTGGTGGGGATGATGGCAACGCGGCCTGGGGGCGACGCTGAGTAATCACGCGGGTGTGTGTGTGTGTGTGTGCGTGTGTGTGCGTGTGTGCTCGCTAAGCAGGGTCGTCCCCGTACACGTGCCTGGAATGCAGCCAACGTTTCCAGTTCGAGTTCCCCTACGTGGCGCATCTGCGTTTCCGCTGCCCCAAGAGACTGCAGGGCGCTGACAACGGTCCCCACGACGAGCAGGGCGGCGGCGCGGGCGCCAAGGACCACGGGGGCGGCGGCGGCAAAGACCCGCAGCAGCAGCAGCCGCCGCCGCCGCAGGACGCGCCCCTGGGCCCGGCCCCCAAGTTCTGCAAAGCCGGCCCGCTGCACCACTACCCGGCCGCGTCCCCCGACAGCGCCGGCGGCAGCGGCGCGAAGCCGTCCACGGACTTCCACAACCTGGCCCGGGAGCTGGAGAACTCGCGCGGGGGCGGCGGCGGCGGCGGCTCCCCGGCCCCCAGCGTCGCGGGCGGCGGCCACCAGGAGGCGGAGCGGAGTCCCGACGGCGGCGGCGGCGGCGGCAAAGGGAAGAGGCGGCTCCCGGAGGACGCGGCGGAGGCCGGCGGCGGGACGGCGGGGGCCCGGGGGCGCTTCCCCGAGCGGCCCGCGCCCGCGTCCGCGGAGGACCTGGTGTGCACCCCGCAGCAGTTCCGCGGCGCGGGCAGCTTCTTCGGCCTGGAGGAGAGCGGCCGGCTGTTCGCGCCGCCCAGCCCCGAGACGGGCGAGGCCAAGCGCAGCGCCTTCGTGGAGGTGAAGAAGGCGGCGCGCGCGGCCGGGCAGCAGGAGGAGGCGGCGGCCGACGGCGCGGGCGT